ATCTTTTCATCCTACGCAGACAAGCCAGCTATTCTCCATTCTTTCACTACACCTGCTCTTTGTCTTAGTTGTGGCTGCACTACCTCCTTCTCACAGTTTTCCCTAATACCTCTCATATTTGCAACATATTTAAGTTTTTTGTGCTTTCTCTCTTTGTTTATACCTCTGTAAAAGAACTTATTTGGGGCAAGTAGAGTGCCTGGATTCAAATCCTGCTTCCAAAATTCTAGCTGTGTGACCCTTGATAAATCACTTAGCCTCTGTGAGCCTTGGTTTTTTTCACCTATAGAATGGGGCTAATGTCGTAGGGTTACTGTCGGTTCAAATGAGAAAACAAGGAGAGCACCGGGCACATAGTAAGCATTCAAATGTTAATTGCTGCTGTTCTTATTTATAAAACTTGATCACTGGATTACAAACTCTTGAATGCAAGGAATGTGGCTTTCTCATTTTCCTTAGAGACCTGGCACAGTGATTTACATGTGAACTGAATTATCATAATTAAATTTGGGGCTAGGTTACAAAGAAAAATTATGAAACTGTATTTGAAAGACCTAATCTCCTGTCTGCCAGGATCATTTCAGTGAAATCCTTCGTAAAAGCAGAGGCTTTCCTAGATCAGCCTTTCATAAGTAAACGTGGTTATTTTATTGGTAAGTATTTGACCGTGTAATACGCCAGTTTCTTTAGGATGTAAGACCTAAGACCATTACTACTCAAGACCCTTTGTGGACTCAAGACCCTTTACTACTGAATTCACAGTGCTCTCATGTGGACACTAATGCAAAAAGGACCAGGATGATGCAAGCACCCTGTTGATCCTGAGATAACTCTCTGGAGGCTTCTTTCAAGCTTTTGGGTCTCAGCTATCTAGAAGCCACAGATTTGGTATGTTTCACAAAGACTTGGTTCTGCCAAGATGGTTTTAATTATTTCTGCTAAAAGGAATAGACTCAAGGATTTGATCTCACTTTAAATGTAGTTGTCCCCAACTGGCCATTTTATGGCCTTTTAGTAAATACTGCCATTGTATTTGGTCATCATTAAATCAATCTCTATTATCTGTCAAGGCAAGTCACTAAAATAAATGCGGTCTGGCACTATTTTCATGTTGTTTAAATATTTAATTTACTTGCCTTAGACAATTCAAGTATTAAATAAAAAATTTTAAGTTTATTTATTTTGAGAGAAAGAGAGACTGGGGGAGGGGCAGAGAGAAGGGAAGAGAGAGAGAATCCCAAACAGGCTCCACACTGTCAGCATGGACCCCAACATGGGGCTCAAACTCAAGAACCCTAAGATCATGACCTGAGTCAAAACCAAGAGTCAGATGCTTAACCAACTGGGTCATGCAGGCACCCTTCTTAAATAAATTTTTTTTTAAAACCTCATTCTTTTACATCGCTTCAATCTCTATGGCAAAATGCAAATGCAGTTGAAGAACCAATCAGAGAAAATCCTTTCTATTATAATAAATTGATGATAAATTGTTATTGAGGAGAAAATAATCCATCCACTTATCTAAGAAAGCTTTTGACTACCTCATATTTTACTAATGTCATTAGTAGCAAAGTGAACTCGTATTGTGGTGTCACTCCCACTCATGCCACTCTAGCATTTCACCTCATTTTTACATCATCAGAAACATTTTCTTGTCTGAAGTGCTGTTGTGGAGACGAAAGTTACCATAACCCTAAACTGGGGCAAAGGATTTTTTTTTTTTTTGTACAGTAATATATTTGTAGAATTAAAAAAAAAAAACTGTAAGAGATTAAAAGTCCCTCCTCAACCCACCTTCCAGAGATTATCACTGTTAACCGTTTATTAGGTATTCCTGCAGATATTTTGCTATAGTTACAATATATGTATATCATGTGTGTCTATACGCATGTTGTATACATGTGTGTCATGGGTATGTCCTGTTCAGTTGTTTTAACAAAAACAAGATCATATTATACATACCTGTCACTACTTTTTTTAACTTATGGTGGACATCTTTGTTCAATAAATATAAATCTTATGCATTTTTAGTGGCTGTATTGTGTGTGTGTGTGTGTGTGTGTGTGTGTGTGTGTTGATTTACTTCCTCCCTTTTTGATGTTCATTGTTGTTTCCAAGTTTTTTGCTATTACAAATAATGCTGCTATGAACTCAGGTCTTAGGTAACAGAAACTTCCCAAATATCATGATAACTAACATTCTAACTGAAGCATATCAACTACTGTATTAAGGCAGTTCATAAATTTTTAAATATTGTGTTTAAGAGATAATGGCATTCAATTAAGAGTTTGGAGAAAGAAACTAACATTAAATTCATGCTATTTTTTTTTAAGTTTATTTATTTAGTTTTGAGAAAGCACAAGTGGGGCAGGGGCAGAGAGAAAGGAAAAGAGACTCCCAAGCAGGCTGCACACTGTTGGTATGGAGCCTGATGTGGGACTTGAACCCACAACCTGTACGATCATGGCCTGAGCCAAAGTCATATGCTTAACCAACTAAGCCACCCAGGTGCTCCCATGCTATGTGTTTTTCCATATGTCCTCTTAATCATCCTCCTAAGGTAAAGTAGAAGTGGTATTTTATAGACCAGAAAACCATGGATCAATTTACCCAAGGTGAACAATTTATCCAAGGTTCAGTAACTAGTTACTATTGAATCTGGGTTTCAAACCTAGGTTCTCTGACTTCAAATCGAGGACTACCTCTGCTGTCCTGGCTAGTGTAAGGGAAATAAAAATAGCTTGTCCCAGTTGCATGATTTCTTGGCTCAGACATGAACAGCTGAATCTATGGTTTGCTTCTTCTGGATGAGGAATGCAAACAACCATAAAAGGTAGTCCTGCTTAGAAACAACCTATAAATGTTATATGTTTTGTTGAGGGGAAAAGTATGTAAGTTATTATAAAGTTGTGTTTAATCTTCCATCATTCCCCTCTCATTGTCAGACTTTCTGCAATCTTGCTACGTGGTAACTTCACTGATTGGTGAACTAGATGACGTCACCCCTTGATTTTACTGTTTCCCTTTTGGGAATTGTGTACCCAGGAAAATTTTCCCACACAGGCTATATCTTGTCCCCTCTGTAGCACTTAAAAGAACACCAATTAACTACATCCCTGCTACCTTGTTGATAGGAAATCTACTGGCTACTGGTTTACCCTCGGGTCATTCACGGGTTCATGACCCAAATATTAAGAAGTCCACTCTAACGCGTTGGGATGAGCACTAGGTGTTGTATGTAAGTGATGAACCATGGGAATGTACCTCCAAAATCAAGAGCACACAGTACACACTGTATGCTAACCAATTTGACAATAAATTATATTAAAAAAATTTTTTTTAATTTAAATTTTTAAGAAAAGAAGCCCCCTCTAGTCATTTGTCATCTTTCTACACTTATTACTAGTGAGACATCAACTATTCCAGCCTGAATGGTGCAGTAGTTCATGTCCATCCCACACTCGGGCCATGGCGAAGTTTGGTGAGCTGGGAAGACTTTCTCCCTGGACTGAGGACGCATTTCCTCTTAGACCTTGGCATGTTTGGTACTGTTGCTACCAAACAGTAGGTCTCTAACTCCCTCTGATTTTCAGATACCTGATTTCTTGACCTCTGTCTCTGTCAGTAACAATGACCTTTCAGTATTGGGTTTTGCTTCTTGTAAAATGTTGAAAAATCTATGTATCCGGGAGCAATGGGAATGGTGAGGGTATTAAACTACATGTCTTGGGCATTCATGTCTTCCCAAATGGCGTCTCAAAGCTAGCCAGCGCCTTCTACCCAGGATTTCCAGTAGGGTGGGCACAAGGACCCTCACCTCTTGTTCACAGACTAGCTATTGGTTGGTTGCTTTCGGCCTTTTCTGACCCCCTTACTTCTCTCTGATCTCCCTCCTCCCTTGTTGGGTGTCGACGAAATGCCCTTCCAAATGCCACACTACTCTCAACCCATGACTACTCTGCCCACAGTAACGGGTAGGTAAACAATGTCGATTTTGGGGGGATTTTTTGTTTCCCATCTGGCCTAAAGGAGCCACTAGTAGTGTCAGCATTGGAAGAGGTACTCTGCTGTATGATGGTTACCACAAGTAGCACATGCTCTAAATTATAAAATCAAAGGTTCATAAAGTGAAGATAGTGATTTGAGAAATTACTTAGATGAACTAAGTAGAGATCTCCTAGCCTTTTACAAGCTGGTAGACATTGGGTACATCACTTCTCTCTTGACTTCCATAAAAGGAGTGGAGTTGAACAGGTCCCCAACTAAGGGTCAAGGGCTGGTTACATCACAATCACCTGGGACCATTGTTAAAGATTCCTGTTCCCACACTCTACCACAGTTCTGTACCAGTCTCCCAAATGCGAATGTATGTATGTTTTCTTAGCAAACAACCCATGGGCACCTGGGTTTGGGAACCACTGCAGTGGATGATATCTTATGACACTGAGAGGTCACTGAGCCCGCAGCTGTATTAGCCAGGTTTGGATGAGGACACACCTGGTGGGGGTGAAGGAATGCCAGGCCTCTCTCAGGGTGTGTGCTGGGGAGACCCCAGAGAATCTGAGGAGTAGAGACAGTTACCACCTTTCACGCCTGACCTAGCACCTTGCAGGCTCTCTGCTCTCTGTCTTCAGTTCCTACCACAGGATGTAACCTGGGCTCTGTACTGGTCTAAACTAGAAATAGAAAAGAAGTCCAAACCCTGCTTCCAGGCTTTTGTAAAGGTGGAGAAAAGCAGAGTGCCTGGGGAGAGGTTGTTATCAACGACAAAGTGGTAATGTCCTCCCTGGGGTGAGGGCAGGTTTTTTGGTTTTTGGTTGTTGGGTTTTTTTTCCCCCCCTGTCCCTGCCTCAGGCTAAAGTGGTGCAGTCTGTTACCTTGGAGACCAGCTAACACTTCCTGGCAGGGCGAGCTTCACTGTGGAGTCGCTTGGAGGAGCTTAGAGGAAGTGGAAGCCAGGAAAAGCAGAGACCTCTCCTCTCCCAGAGATGGAGAAATAAATGAAGAAATGCAGGTGAGGGTGAGTGTCACAGGGTTGGCAGGGTGGCAAGAGAGGGTGAGGCACATTCAGACGCTAAGCTCAGAACCGAGTGAGAAAGCTTTAGGGAGCCTGGGCCCTTAGGCCTCCACTCCCTACAAACCGGGCACTGTTCCAGGTGCTGGAGGTGCAACAGTGGACAAGGAAGGAGTCAGGCTGCTTGGGAGAAGGACGGTGACAACTTGGTATGAGGCAGCCCCAGGCGGGTGGCAATGGGAGGAAACGATTTCCTTCCTGGGGCCTGGAAGGCAGCAAATGGGGTTCAGGAAAGACTTGCTGGGTTTTCTTGTCGAACAAAAAGGGCAAAGGCCGTTTCTAGAAGTAGATCCAACTGGAGCTAAGAAGGGTATGCAACAGCAAGGTGTATGTAAGTAGGGGTTGCCAGGGGCCATAGAAGGGTAAGAGATGATGTGGAGAGGTAAGAACAGGTCCTGAGGGAAAGTAAACCTTGCAAAGAAGGTTCAGCTTGATTATCCACAGGCACCATGGCAGTTTCTGAACAGGTGAACAACTGCACGTCGGAAAAATCATTCTGTCAGTAGAATGTAAAATGCATTGGATGGGGGCAAGACTTCAGTTATTTGGCCATTCAAAATACAAACCCTGGGGATGGTTTCTTCTGGATGTTTAGGAGAATCCAGCTATTAGCAAACCGGGAAGTTAGGGGGAGCTTTTCTTTTATCCGCTCACCAGAGCTATCTCCTTTTGCCCACAACGCCATCTTTTTTTTTTTTTTTTTTTTAACGTTTATTTATTTTTGGGACAAAGAGAGACAGAGTATGAACGGGGGAGGGGCAGAGAGAGAGGGAGACACAGAATCGGAAGCAGGCTCCAGGCTCTGAGCCATCAGCCCAGAGCCTGACGCGGGGCTCGAACTCACGGACCGCGAGATGGTGATCCGAGCCGAAGTCGGACGCTTAACCAACTAAGCCACCCAGGCGCCCCACAACGCCATCTTCTAAGGGCCAGCTTCCATATTCTCTTCCCCACCTGAGCCCGGTCCCCCAGGGTAATGTGACCCACCTTTGTCTGAACTCTGGACCTGCCCTGAGTACATTTAGTCAAATGTTTTTTTTGAGCAGCTACTATGTTCTAGGCACTGATTAGGTGAAAGTCTAATAGAAATGAATGTAACTAAGTCCCTGCCCTCGTGGATCTTTTAGTGGGTTGATGGGCGGGAGCGAACAGTAAAAGCAAATTTGGAGCTTGTCAGATTATAAAACAAAACGGGCTCTGGAGAAAACAAGGCAGGGTGGAGGGGGTACTCTTTGAGATGGGCTAATCAAAAGAGCCGTCTCTAATTGGGTTTCATTTGAGCAAAGACCTGAGGGTAAGGGCTGTGTCCAGTTCTCTCTGCCTCCCCAGTACCAGCTCTTTCTGGCATCCCCGCAAACACCCTAAAAACATTCGTGGAATGAATGATCACTTTATGCTGAAGTGCTTGAAGAAGGAGCATGTTATTCTGATGCTGTTCTACATTTCTATAGTACTGTGTATTTACAAAGCTCTCTGATATTCTCAATTTCCTTTGACCCCTTGACAATTGAGTTGAAGCAGACCAAGCAGTTAACAGTAACCCCATTCCATTCAGCAGATTGAAGAAACCCAAGTTCTGGTGCTTTCTGAAACACCACACCCTCCTCCATCAGTGACCACATCGATCGCCCTAGAATCCCATCCTCAAGTAGGCCTCTGAGTTCATGATTGTTAATCAGTCACTGAAAAGAAGGAACCGGAGCACTGTGGGGCGTCCAGTGTTCGCAAGGCATTTCTATTTCAACAGTCCCTGCCACTGGTCTCTCAGCCAGGCGTACTGAAGGAAAGCCAGTTGTTTTTTAAACATTTTCTAGCATTAACACTGCCACATTATCTTGGTGCTTCCCAGATGACAAAGCATCCTCTCAATAAAAGATTAAAAACCCCAGAGAGAAAAGCAAGTTGCCGAACCATCATTAGGCTATTTTATTTAATGATTTCATAAGAACACACGCTTTTATTTTTCAAGCTGCAACTCCATTTGGAGTTTCTCACTTGCTGTGTCTTGGCCAATGTTTTTTTGGTTGCAAGTAACAGACACCTAAATGAGCTAGCTTCAGCAGAAATATCGGGAATTATAAGGAACGCGGTTTTTCATGGAAGCCAAGAGCAGAAGGGGAAGGCAGCTGTCACAGGTGCCTGGGATTACCATTTAGAAGTTCCAGAACCAAGGCAGTTTCTTGACCTCCTCCTCTCCCTTCACCTCCCCTCCCCCAAATATTGCTAGCCAGTCCCTACTCTCATGTAACTTACAGTCTAATGGGAGAGAGACACCACAATTTTAAAAAATCACACCAATGGATGTATCGTTCTAAATTAAAAATAAAGTATTCCAAAAGAAAGCACAGATCTATGAAAGTTTAGATAACACAAAGAAACTGGAAATAAAGTGGGAAGGTGAAGACTTCCCAGAGGAATTGACACTTATGCTGCAATACCAAGAATGAGTGGGGAAGGTGAGGAGGAGGTGGAATGCTCCAGAGCAAAGACAGCACATGAAAAGGCCCTGGGGTTAAAGGAAATGTATACCATTGTAGGAACTGAAGGGAGGAGTTGTGGAGCACAGAAGGGGGGCAGGGAGCAGGAATAAAGTGGGAAAGCTGGAGAGGTACAGGTGGGCAGCAGCCAGATCATGCAAGACTTCAAATGCCATCTTGAGGACCTTCACCCTAGAAATGAAGGGAAGCCTTAGGGAGAAGAGGGCGTATGACATTCGATTTGTGTTTTTAAAAGCTCACTCTGACTGCAGTGAGAACAGACAGGATGGGGGTCTGGAGGGGGCGTCTGAGGGGATGTAGGGAGGCCAGTGAGGGTCTACTGCAGTTGTCTGTGGCAGAGATGACAGTGACCTGGATACCGAATGTCACTGGAGACAGATAAGTGGAGAGATTTGAGAGAAGGAAAGTTAACAAGATTAGGTGATGGATTGGATATGGGGAATGAGGTGTCAGGAGTAATTCCTAGGTTTCTGACCCATGTGAATAGATGGAGAGTGGCTGTGTTCTCTCAGCGGGAGAACAATGAAAAGACAATTGGTCTGTAGGGAATAAATGAATTCAGTCTTGGACACGTTGAGTTTGAGGTACTTCAGGAGGAAATATCCAGTGTCAATGAATACACGGGTCTGCAGTCAGAGTGGAAGGTCTGGATTTTTGACATACATTTTGGGAATCATTGATGTATGTAGGTGGTAGTTGAAGCCACGGGCAAGGAAGGGTAAGACCACCTAGGAAAAGCAGATAGAGAGAGAAGGGAAGAGAGTGCACAATTTAGCCTCAAGGAACACCGACCTAAACCACTTTAACTGCTCAGGTAGAGGAGAGCGAGCCCGGAAGGGAGACCAGGAAGGAGCCGGCAGAGAAGGAAGAAGGCAGGAGAAAATAGCCCTGGGAAAACCACGACCACTCACTACTCTTGATCTGGAGACAGGATTTTCCTGCTTCTAAATGTACATGGTGGCCCCATAGCTCGTAATTCTGAATTCCCAGGGAGGATCTGATGGATCCATCTTGTTCCTGTCCACTGCAGACTTGCTGATCAGCTGTGAGGAGAAGGCTGCAGGGTCACCTCTTTGAGTGGAGATGGAGTTCGCAAAGAAAAGAACTCAGTCTCATCTCAGTATTTGCCCCTCATCTCTCTCTTCTTAAAGTCCTTATGGTCACTCATTGCCCTCTCCACCCAGTTCAGCCCTCACCGTGCTCTTTACATGGCCACTGAGGACCTTAGCTATCCAAAAATAGATCCCTTGCCTGATTAGTCTCCATCATATCATCCTGTTCACATCCTTCCTAGCACTTGCCACAATTCCTGTATACTCTAATTTAAAAAAAAAAAATCTTAATGTTTATTTTTGAGAGACAGAGACAGAGTGTGAGCAGGGAAAGGGCAGAGAGAGAGGGAGACATAGAATCTGAAACAGGTTCCAGGTTCCGAGATGTCAGCACAGAGCCTGACGTGGGGCTTGAATTCATGAATCGCGAGATCATGACCTAAGCCAAGTCGGAAGCTTAACTGACTGAGCCACCCAGGTGCCCCGTCTATATTTAATTTTTTAACATCTGTCTCCCCCTCTAGAATGTAAGCTCTCTGAGGCAAAGACAGATATCAAGCTCAGTGGTTCTCAACTGGGGACAACTGTGCTCCTCCATGAGACGTTAGGCCATGCCTAGAGACTTTTTTTTTTTTTTTTTAAGTTTATATACTTTTTGAGAGACAGCATGAGTAGGGTAGGAACAGAGGTGGGGGTGGAGGGCGGGAAAAGAGGATCCAAAGCAGGCTCCGCACTGAGAGCGGACAGCCCAGATGCAGGGCTCAAACCCATGAACTGTGAAATCATGACCTGAGCCAAAGTTGGATGCTCAACCACTGAGCCACTCAGGCACCCCTTGGGACATTTTTTTTTAAAGTTTTATTTATTGAAGTAATCTCTACACCCAACATGGGGCTCGAACTCATGACCCTGAGATCAAGAGTCACATGCCCCTCCAACAGAGTCAGCCAGGCGCTCCATAGAGACATTTTGGTTGTCACAATTCGGGAGGCAAGAATGCTTTTGGCATCTAGTGGGTCGAGGCTTAGCAGCATCCCACAGCCTCACAACCAAGAATGACCCTGTCCAAAATGTCAACAGTGCTAAAGTTGAGAAGCCGCTGTTACCTTGTTCACCATATCCTCAGCACCTAGCACACAAAGCCTGATACCTAGGAGGTGTTCAATAAGCACTTATTAAATGGATGAATGACAGGAGAATTGAGTTGACTATAGACACCCCAAGGCTGTTATCTCTATGCTGCATTTATCTTTCTCTTTTCTGGTATTCTGTTTTCTCTCTAGGAAAATAAGTGTTGGGTGTTTTTATAATGGCTACAGATACTAGTCATGTCTTCCATGGTCAAGATGATAAGTTTCTGGAAAACCACTGGTAAGGATCTTTGATTTTTTCAAATGAAAACAATAGTAACAACATTTTGTTCAAGACAGTCGATGGGGGAATACTTGTCTTGAAGCGAGACTGGATAAATGGTCATGGCATCATCTTATGCCCAAGGGCTTCAGTTTTCTCACTACCAGAACCATAGAATAAAATGTCTTATGAACCTGGAGCCCACCTCTTATCAGGACTCTGCAGGAACCCTTCCCATTTACCATAGGGAAATAAAAATGTCTCTGGAGAACCTGACAATGTGGAGTCAATGTCTAGTGCTGGGACATTGATCAATCGCTCACTGTGTGTTTTGTAGTGTAAGGAGAAACAATGACAGAGATTCAAAGAAGCACTTGGAACAGAAGGATATCCATGGACTCGGCCAAAATCCAGACAATGGACTACTGGTTACACATGTTAACCAGACACAGGATTTACTGGTAAAAACCATAGTGCTTTAAGTGAGTCACAGTGCTTACAAGTCATAGTCAGGGAATGCAGAATGTGTTATTTCTTTCTTCACATATGATCTTGGGGTTAAAAAAATTAGTTAAGCATTCATCTCTAATCCTCTGCCTTTATTTGTTTGTTTATTTATTTATGAGAGTGCAAGTGGGGGGAGGGAGGGGTAAAGGAAAGGGGGAGAGAGAGAGGGAGAGAGAGAGAGAAAGAGAAAGAGAGAGAGAGAGATTCTCAAGCAGGCTCCACACCCAGCATGGAGCCCAATGCAGGGCTCAATCCTGCAACCCTGAGATCATGATCTGAACCAAAAGCAAGAGACAGATGCTTAACCATCTAACCCATCCTCTGCCTTTAGAAATGACAGGCATATCTATGCTTTTATGCAAATTCTATAGCCTTTTTGGCCATATCATTAAATATTCAGGAGTATATGAAGATTGTCTATATTATCAAAGCCTGAAGACTAAGGAATGTAATTCTAAAATTCCCCTTTCTAAGATTTGTCTTTCTGTGAGGATTCCCTAAAACCTAGATCCAAAAATCCATTTCAGAAGTGCTATCAGAGCAAGAGCATTATGGCAGGAGAATTAACTTCTAGAATAACCAGAACTGTGGTTTTAGACTGACTTTTAGGTTTTAGTTCATGTCAATGAACTATTTTCCCACAATGGTGGCTAGAGTGTCTAGAACTCAGAATTCACTCTACTACAGAAACTATTGTGATCAGGAGTTGTTAGGTACAAGCCTGGCCTATAATCATCGACCTCATCTACACAAGAGTTTAAAGATGATACCTTTGAAACGATAATCAGTCCAAAAACAATACAGTTTTAAGGCTGGCAATTAAACAATCAGGAAGATGGTCCTATTTTACTTTTCTCAAGTATTGTCACTAATAGGAAAGCAATTTTAATGAAAAGAATATGAGGAAATGTCAGTAGAGTCTTGAGATTCTGGGGGATTCTTTCAATGACTTCAGATGTTGATAATATGGGTCTTTGCTCCATCTAATTTCATGTCAAATACATGACTTCCCAGGTGTACAAGGGCCACTCATACAATTATCAGCCACAGCTGGGACCTCCTATACCTCACAAATGAATAGCAGTGGGAAAGATGGAAAGGATCACCCCAACGTAAAGAGCTTACGACTCTATATGTAAAGCACATACCTTATTATATGATCAGTATGCCCTACCATCAAAATCTATAATGTCTATGTGTTAATGGTGGACCTTCAAATATTAATGATACAAAATCCATGCCCCAAAACATGATATTTTATTTCAAATTCAAGTGAAATGGAAGAAAGGTGAATTCTCAATCCACCATGCACGGAGTCCTCAGCCAGGGAGTCAAGTTGAGTCCTGAAAGATGAAGAGAGTGACATCTAGTGTTCATACTATGTAAAGCAGGGTTTCCCTAAATGTGAGATGGGGGGGGGGAACCATGATTTTAGTTGATGCTGTTCAAGGGCAGGACATTAATTAGCATAAAATCACACGAGAAATTTACCTTTTGATCAGTTCTCCCTCAATCCTTTATTAGAATAGTCACAGTTTGGAGCTAACTTGAGCTTGGGTTTGAATCTCAGCTGTGCCACATACCAGCTTGTGTGACTTTGGGAAAACTATTTAAATTCTCTGTGCCTCAGTTTTCTTTCTTTTTAATTTTTTAAAAAAATGTTTAATGTTTACTTATTTTTGAGAGAGAGAGACAGAGCATGAGCAGGGGAGGGGCAGAGAGAGAGGGAGACACAGAATCTGAAGCAGGCTCCAGGCCCTGAGCTGTCAGCAAGGAGCTATACGTGGGGCTTGAACCCAGGAACCATGAGATCATGACCTGAGTTGAAGTTGGACACTCAACCAACTGAGCCATCCAGGTGCCCCATGTGCCTCAGTTTTCTTGTCAGTAAAATGGGGTAATGACAGTAACACCTTTGAAGAATTAAATGAGTTAATGTGTGAACAGTGCTTGACACATAATAAGTGCTATTCAAGTGTTTGCTCTTAGTGTTGTTCACACTTCTTTAACACTTGCTAATCTTTCTTTCTTTCTTTCTTTCTTTCTTTCTTTCTTTCTTTCTTTCTTTCTTTTGTTCTTTCTTTCTTTCTCTTTCTTTTGCTAATTTCCTTTAGAAACAGGGCAGTGAGCAGGCTTCAGCACAGAACTGAGGGCATACAATGCTATCTAGCTGGAATATAATAACATTTCATTTTCATTGAGGGGGGAAATAAGGATCATTGTTCAGATCTGGTTTGGGTTTTTTTTTTTTTAAGGTTGTTGTTTTTTAAGTTTTATTTATTTATTTTGAAAGAGAACATGGGAGGAGCACATGTGGGCGAGGGGCAGGGAGAGGGAGAGAGAATCCCAAGCAGGCTCCACACTAAGCCCGATGCATGACTGTGAAATCATGACTTGAGCCGAAACCAGGAGTCAGACTTTTAACAGACTGAGCCACCCGGGTGCCCCATTGTCGAGATCTGTTAATGCAGCAACATGCACAGCTGGGTGCTGCCGTAGCTTCACATTCCTGTGTCCCAGGTGAGAAAAGAGCCGCACCCACTGGGCCAGCATCACAAAGCAAGTGGATGGAGAACCCCACATACTGCACTCTCTCCTCTCCTGCTTGTCTTTAGACTTTCCTCTTCCTGTGTCTTCCACCCTGCCTAGTGGAGCTCAATCAGCTATCCACAGAATTTTCAACCTCCTGTCCTCCACCTCACCCAGTACAATGAAAGCCCTGACAAATACAACCCAATAACTTAAGGTTCAAGCAAGTGCCCGGGAGATGGGCGCAGCCATTTTTGAATGTAGATGGGGGTCTTGGTGGGATAAACAGTGTGTAGACCTACTCCCCAGTCATCAGATGCTGCATGGCAGTTTCTGTCATAGTGGGACTGAGCCGGCCTCCCTTATAATGCTGTTCCACACCCTGAGTGAGTCATGATCAATTCTGGCAACATTTACATCCTAGGTGTATCACACAAACAACAGTGATCGCACTGGAAGCCCGGCCTGAACCAGGCCTTGCACACCTACCCAGCCCCTACTCGTGTCATGTTACACCGACCACAGTGGCCACCTTTCTGCTCTTCAAACACTCTGACTCCTTCCCCGCTCCATGCCTCTGCCCAGAATGTGTGTTCCCTAGCCATGCACAGGGCAGGTTCCTTCTTGACCTCCAGGTGATGGCTCACAGAGGCCTCCTCTGATCCCCACCCCAGCTGAAGTGACCTCCCCATCTCTACCCTACTCACTGTATATCACATTCCCCTGCTCCATTTTCTCACTAGAACTATTCCTTTTTGAAATTATATACATAGATTTCATTTCTTCTCTTCTGTCCCCCTGCCCACTCTAGAATGTAAGCTCCAAGAAGGCAAGAACATTTCTGTCTTGTTCACACTGTAGCCCTACCACCACTGACCACGCCTAGTGCATAGAAGGGCTCAGGAACACCCACCGGGAAGAAGAAGAAATGCCAACCTCCAGGAGAGGCTGATCAAGGCCAAATGGGCTCAGAGCCTCTGGTCAGTTTTCTCTACCTTCTGGTTCCTGGAAAGCATCACCAGTGTTGAATGCTTGCCATGAATAACTTCAGTTCCACCACCAAGGCCACCACCCAAATCCTGAGCTTAGGACTATGTAACTATGTCACTAGGTATAAGCAAGGGGTAGAGTCCTTTTCATGGCCAGACTCCTACAATAGTGGGGAAATTCTACATTTAAAACTTACCTGCTGCTCCTGTCTTCTCTGGACTAGACAGGATAAATCCATTCCCTCCCATCAGCCAACAAATGTTTGTTGAGGACCCTTCAGACTGATAGAAGGCAAAATTCATACACCTGGGAAGATACAGAAAATCCAAATGTAGAAATAAGCAAAGACCACCCATATGAGAACAGAGGCAATTATTTAGAGCTTGCTCTAGCAAGGGAGTCAGCCACCTTCACTTGTGTTTGGCAGAGACTCAAACGCAGGGAGCCGGAAAGCTTTATGGTGAAAAAGGGGAAAGCTTCACGTGTGCCCTGAAGGAAGGTGTTCGCTTAAGGAATTTGGAGGCAGGCATCTCATAGGATTGGTATTGAGGGCATATTCGGCCTTCTCTGGTGGGTGCTGAGCTGGATGTGAGATAAAAAATAGGAAAGCTGGCAGTCATTGACCAAGTCCTGACCCTTCTGGACCAGTGGCTACAATTGTGGTTTGGCTTCATGGACTGGTGGCTACAGAGGTCGTGAGTCGGAGTTGTATTGTCATATATGGTCTAGCCACCGTCTGTCTGTATATTCAGTCTCTCTTGAGGCAGCATGTGGTGAGTGACCCTTGAATTGTCCCCACATAGTGGGGATGAGGTGACGGATGAGAATGGGGATTCCCAGAGCAACTGGCTTAGGACACAGGCCTCCTCATTCCTCAGTTCCCTCGGCAAGGTGAGTTCTCGAACAGACTGCGTTCAGAGTTGGCAACCCTTGGGCATCCGTGTGGAGGGAACCTAGGGCGTCCTCAGCCTTGCCCTCTCTCTCCCCAGTTTTCTGTTTGACTCTGGCTCTGTCTCACAGAGGCTACAGGGAGACGAGACCCAACCTTCAGCTTGGGAGGACCCGGAAGACTGGCTTTCCACACACAGTTTACGGTTTGAGAGGCTCACCTTGGCTGACCTGATTAGCCAGGGCACCACAGTACTGTAAGTCTGGCTCCACTCCCTTCACCCCCAAGCCTGTAATGACACACCCCGCCCCCGGGCCGGAAAGACCCTTTCATGAGACTGCTTCTTCAGGGAGGAGGGCAGCGATGTCATGAGGAAAGTGCACTTCTCCACCCAGATGATCCACCAATTTGAATCAAAGCTTTCTGGGTAAGTATGTTTTTCAGTATCTTCTCAAAAACCCCAGAGCTCAAGAATTTCCTCATTTCAGCAGCCTGAAATAACTTTGTTCAGACAACAATCTCTGGGTTCTTGACCGGGCCTCTCCCACTTCCGGCCCTGATTGCCTCTTTCCTCAAATGAAGAGATTGGACCATACCAATTTTTCTCAGCCTTTTAAAACCCATGAGCCCTTTGGACACATGGATGGTTCAGTTGGTTGGGCGTCCAACTCTTGATATCAGCACAGGTTATGATCTCACAGTTCATGAAATGGAGCCCCACATCAGGCTCCGTGCTGAGTGTGGAGCTTGCTTGGAATTCTCTCTCCCTCTTCCTGCCCCTCCCCTGCTTACACTCTCTCCCTCAAAATAAATAGATGAAAAAAAAAAGGGGGGGG